TGAGTTTTGGTTAAATGAGGTTGCCTTTCTTGGACATATAGTTTCAAAAGACGGGATATCAGTAGATCCAATTAAAATAAAAATAGTAGTAAACTAAAAAAGGCCTACAATAGTAACTGAAGTCCGAAGTTTCCTTTGTCTACCTGGATACTACAAGAAGTTTATTGAAAATTTTTTAAAGATTGCTACTTCACTAACTTATCTCACTATAAAGGATACAAAATTTGAGTGAAATGGTAGTGTGAACAAAGTTTTCAAGAACTAATGATTGATAACAGTTCCAGTATTGACTATTCCTAATGGTACTGGTGAATTCTCTATCTACAATGATACTTCAAAATAAGGGTTGGGATGTGTGCTAATACAACACAAAAAAGTGATAGCTTATGGTTCCAGACAATTAAAGAATCATGAGCAGAACTATCCTACCCATGATTTAGAACAAACCGCCATAATTTTTGCCTTAAAAATCTGGCATTATTATCTATATGGTGAAAGTTTGGAGATTCGCACAGACCATAAGAGTTTGAAGTATTTGTTCTCCCAGAAAGAACGTAATATGTACCAAAGGATATGGATGGAATTACTTAAGGATTATAATTGTAAGATCCTATACCATTAGGAAAAAGACAATATGGTTGCAGATGCACTTAGTAGGAAGAATACGTGCACTCTTGCCTACATAATGACCTCAGAGTGGAGACTCATAGAGGAGTTCCAGAAATTGAATCTAAATTTCCTACATAAGAGATCAGGAAGATATTTAGCCAATATAAAAATAAAACTCATTTTGATACAAAAAATTAAAGAAGATTAATAGTTTGATCTTACCTTGAAGTCGATTATGGAATGTATTAATCCTTGACTTAGGCTAGAATTCAAACTATCGGAAGATGGTGTATTGAGATTTGGAAATAGAGCATGTGTGCCGAATAATAATAGTATGAAAAATGAGATATTGGAAGAAGCGTATTGCTCTAGATTTGCTATGCACCCTGGCAACACTAAGATGTATCAGAACTTGAGGACCAAATATCAATGGAGTGGGATGAAGAATGATATAATAGAGTTTGTTTCTAAATGTCTAATATGCTAATAAGTGAAGGCTGAATGTTAGAGACCAGCAGGACTACTTTAACCATTGCTGATAGCAAAGTGGAAATGAGAACATATTACTATGGATTTCATTGTGGGTCTACCTCAAACAAGATCCCAACATGATGCTATATGGATTATCTTTGATAAATTAACCAAGTTTGCTCATTTTTTGGCTATCAAAGTAAATGACCCACTGGACAAGTTAGTCAGGCTCTATATTAAAGAGATTGTGAGTTTGCATGGAATTCCAATCATAATAGTCTCTGATCGAGATCCCCGCTTTACTTTAAGATTTTAGACCAATCTACGGAATGCTATGGGGACCAAGTTATCCTTTATACGATTTTCTATACTCAAACAGATGGTCGATCAGAACAGACAATTTAAACTTTAGAAGATATGCTACGAGCCTGTGTCATTGAGTTGCGAGGTAATTGGGACGATCATTTATCTCTGATTGAGTTCACGTATAGCAATAGTTATTAGTCCAGCATTCAAATGACACCTTAAGAGGCTTTGTAGTAAAGACCTTGCAAATCACCTATTTGTTGAGAAGAAGTTAGAGAACAAAAACAGGTTGGACCTGAATTAGTGGAAGAAACTACAAAGAAATTGAAATTGATCCGGAAACATCTTCTGACAACTCAAAATAGGCATAAAAGTTATGCCAACAATCGAAGAAGAGATTTAGAATTTGAAATAGGCGACCATGTATTTGTGAAAATCTCACCAATTAAAGGGATTATGAGATTTATGAAGAAAGAAAAACTCAGTCCTCGATTTATGGGACCTTTTGAGATAAAGTGGGAGCTGTCACCTACCATTTAGCATTTCCATATGAGTTAGCCAACATACACAATGGTTTTCATGTGTCGATGTTGAAGAAATATCACCCAGATCCATCGCATACTTCAATATGAACCCTTTGCACTTCAACATAACCTATCATACATTGAATTTCCTGCGCAGATAGTGGATCGCAAAGAAAGGATATTATGGTCCAAGATAATCTCTTTAGTAAAGGTACTATGGCAGCACCATTCAACTTAAGAAGCCACATGGGAGATAAAAGAGGAAATGAAGGCCAAATACCCACATTTATTTATGACTACTGGTAAGTTCAATTTGGAGGACCAAATTTCTTTTTAAGGGGGGAGAATGTGATAGCTTGAAAATACATCTGAGTTAATTTCATATATTTGATATATTTAATTTAGCATTACATGTGTTTCAAACTATATAATTAGGTTAAGAATATAGTGTAAAGTCAAACATAAAAAAAATGGATAAGGATGAAGGAGCTGGAATAAGCATGAAGAGGTATGAGAAAATGTGAGAATATTTTAAATCAAGTGGTATAATGAAAAGTGATAACTATTAGACAAAATGACATAACAGAAAATGACAAGTTTTACATGAAGTGACATGTAAAAAATGAAAACATTTTAGATGAAATGACATGTGAAAAGGTCTTTAGATAAAACGACATATGAAAAGTGATAACATTTTTAGATGAAATGATATGTTAAAAGGTCTTCTAGGTAAAACGACATGTGAAGAGTAGTAACTTTTTAAGTAAAGTGACATGATGAAATGTGACAATTTTTGGATGAAATAATTAGACGGAATGGTGACAACTTTTTTCTCATAGCTTTCCACTCCTATAAATAGGGAATAAGAGAAGGAAGGAAGAGACATTCTGAATAAGAGAAAAATAGTAAAAAGCATAGAGGTGAAGGAAGAAGAGAGAGTACGAAGTGTGTGATATTTGAGGAGGTTTTAGATAAAAATCTTGGGGAAACTCTTCTAAATTTGTGAGAGCAGAGAAAGAGGAAGAGAAGAAGAATAAGGCTCACGATTAAAAGGAAGCTATAAATCGTTAGAAAGGTAAGTTTTTTCTTAAGTTTTGAAGTTTGGGTTCTCTTTGATTTTTGAGATTAGTTTTTAAGTATTGTGTTGGATATTTTTTGAGTCAAGAAAGTGACAAAAAATTATCTCAAAATTTCGCTAAATTTTTTAGAGAAAAAAGTCATAAATAAAGCCAAAACTCTGCCGAAATTAAGATTACGACTGCTAAGAACCTAAGGTAAATGAATATTAAGAATTCATAGCCTACGTAGTTTTGAAGTATTTTACGAATTTTCAATATAAAAATATGCACATATTTAATTTGTCTTCCATATTTGTTAAGTAAGTATTTGTTAAACTTTTACTTCAATATAAATGTTATTTCACTTTGTGTTTTTGAAATGTGATTTTGATATGTGTGCATCATTCATTATGGAAAGAAGTTATTTCGAAAGCACCTACATTATGCTATGCTTTAATCTGGCCGTACATAATCGTTCTGTGTTCGGGTATATTGGCGAAGTGATAAGTGTGTACCTATACATAACCGTTTTGTGTTCGGGTATATGAGAAAATAGTCTGATTTGCGTGGCCTAACCATTCCGTGTTTGGGGGTAGTAGTGTTCCAAGATACTCATGTATGTCGTTCCGTGTTTGGGTACATAGGGAACCAGTGATAAGTATCTGTGCCTATGCATAATGTATAGTAATTAATAGATCCTCCATAATAGTGATGAGGCATACAACATGCATATGTTTTTTGATTTGTACTTTCATCTTCTGATTCGTATTCGTTTTGGAAAGATTATATGATATATATTCTGTTGTGTGTAAAAAAACTATATATTGCATGTACTATGTTGTGATTTCATAATATTACTTATTGAGATATTTTATCTCGTTCTTCCTATCACCCTCCAGATATAGAAGATACTGCTGCAGAGTGAACGGTGATACGAAGGAAATCTTTAAAGCCTAAACTCTGATATTATGGTTACTGTTTTGTATTTTTGTTTAGTAATGTAAGTAAGGAAATTTAGAGTTTTGTACATACGTTTATGTTTTATATTTAAGGGATGTAACGTTTATGCGACTCTTTTATTATTAATAAAATTAAGTTATTTTACTTAACTCAAATCTATATACAATGTCCATTACTAAGAATATATATTTTTTATAATTAATATCATATCTTTGTGAAAATCACTTAGCTACAAGTCATAATTTATATCGAATAATTTTATTTTTCTCATTTCACTTTCTTATAAGTATCCATTTGTAGCTAATTGATTTATGTTTAGACTTTTAAATTATAAATTCAACAAATTTTTGATTATTAAGTATGTCTAATTATATTAGTATTGCTTCTTTCTACATTCACTATTTCTTCAAATTGTTCTAACTATCTGTTTCTAAAAATCCAAAATTTCTCTATGCACCCTTTACCCAAAGGAGAACTTATCTTCATCATATCCATAAATTCAACAAATTATTTTTTTTAACGTGGCATTTATTTAATTTCAAAATTTATGCATCCATTTGTTAAGTAAGGCTATATCCATTTCAATGGCACCTCTTATCCTAAGAACCCATCCCTTTTGGGAAAATAAATTATTACTACTAGCCTTAAATAATAAAAAAACCCTTCAAAAGATACAATTAAAGTTTGGATTATAACATTTTTATAAATTTAAATAGTTTAATATGAAAGAGGTTAATTGCAAAAACAAAAACATTCATAGCTTAATTTTATATTGAAATGTTGGAAAAGCTTTAATTATAATTATAATCAGATTAAGAGTGAATTTAAGTTTTTGGTCATATTAACAAAGGTATTAAGTAATTACTTTTCATTTATTTGATTTATAAATATTAATTTTTAAATTTCTTGAAATTTCATAAACTTAAAATTTAAAGATAAAGAATTATTTTAATTTCTAAATTATTTCTCATATTAAAATTAAAATTTTAATTTTTTTTATTACAATTTAAAATTTTTATTATAATTTGCAATTCTAAAAAATCAAACTGTTATTGGTTAAAAAACAAAAGAAAATCAGAAGACCAACACGCACGGGGTTTGTATACTCTTTAAGTCGCCGATCTGCATAATACTCTTTGTAGGTTAGCTATTAGCTTCTCCTTCAGTTACCCAAGCTGTTCGTATCAAAGAAGGGGAAGGAAAATCAAAGGACATAGAAGATGAGGCCAATTTTGATGAAAGGGCATGAAAGGCCATTGACGTTCTTGAAATACAACAGAGACGGCGATTTGCTATTCTCATGCGCCAAGGATCACACTCCCACCGTTTGGTTCGCCGACAATGGCGAACGCTTGGGCACCTACCGCGGCCACAACGGTGCTGTCTGGTGTTGCGACGTTTCAAGTAATTTTCCTCACTTTCCTTCTTTCTTTATGATTGTTTAGCTCTTATGGAAGACGAGCTTTTTTAAACCCTGGAACATGCTTTTTTTTTTTTTTTTAATTAACCCTTGGAATATGCTTTTCCAAATGTTATTTGCTACAACAGATTGTAAGTTTTGAATAAATAGGAACTTTTAATTCTAGCTTTCTGTCTACTATGATTTTAGCTTTTGTTTGTCTCCATTTTTTTTTCACTTCAAAATGGAAATATGGGGAAATTGTTTTCCTGATTTTTTTCATTGATTTGCTCTTATGAGGTGAATAGTTTTTATCAAACTCAATTTATTGGAGGTTTTGTTGTCTGGGTGGGTATTATGCTGCTTGGGGTCTCGTTTCATACTCGGGTTTTAACATTGTAATACCAAACTTTACTCTTTCAGGGGATTCGACGCGGCTTATCACTGGTAGTGCAGATCAGAGTGCAAAGTTATGGAATGTGCAAACTGGGGCTCAGTTATATTCATTCAATTTTGACTCTCCAGCAAGGGCTGTGGACTTTGCTGTTGGGGATAAGCTTGCTGTGATTACCACTGATCCATTTATGGAGTTGACTTCTGCTATTCATGTGAAGCATATTGCTAAAGATCCCAGTGAGCGTAAGTTTCTGGTGTATTCTCTTTTATGTCAACATTTTCAAACGTGGAAATAACTAGGCTTATGTTTGCTATGAGCCATTTTGATTAGAAAGAGAAGAAAAAAAGAATTCAACTTTCTTATTCCACAATGTATCTAGTTATATGAAAAAAATATGATTTGACATGGTAGCAATTGCGAAACAAGGTTTGGCATGTATCTCATCCTCATGCTTTACAAACTTCTCATTACTGTCATAAAGGGTTTTGGGTGCTGACAAAAATATCTTATATTGACTACTTCTCTTTGCTCGTGTTTTTTTTTTAAAAATTTTTCCTTCTTTCTATTGGGGGACGGCTTTGCCTTTCATACTTTCTAATTTAATATTCTCTTCCAAAGTTACTCATTTTACCATTCTATGAAATAAATTTGGGTCGGTATCATAACAATTGGGAAATAAGGTTTGACATGTATCTCATCCTTGTGCTTTGCTCACTTTACATCATTACGATAAGGATTTGTATTGATTAATCCTCTTTGTTCATGTTCTTTTATGTACTTTTCTTCTTTCCCGATAGTGGATGTGATAGGTCCCAATCAAAGCTATTACAATTGCTAAGCAAATAGAATTATTCTTAGGGTGAGAAAAAACCATAATAGTTTGATTTGAATATCTGTATTGTTACTGCATACTGGAAGATTATCTCCCAAAAAAAATCGATGCATATTGGAAGAGTTCAAATACATGAAGGAAAACCAACTTTTTCTAAACTTACAACTTCAACTACTTGAAATAATGACTCTAACAAATATTTACGAATTAAGAGCTACAATTATTCAACTATTGACGAGACCATATGAGACAAGTGTGTGGAAGAGGATCTGCATAGGGAAGGAGAAATTTCAGGAGTGCCTTAGGTAGAGAGTGGGAGATGGGGACAGAGTCAACTTTTGGTATGATATTTGGCTAGATGGAAGGGCTATGAGAGCAAGGTTTCCACGGATTTTTGTTATAGCACGACATAAGGACATTTTTGTTGAAGAGGTGTTCACTGAAGGAGAGGGTCGGAGGGAGTAGCATGTGGAAGTATTGTGTAATCTTGATGATTGGAGATAAACGAATGCGAATCGCTGCTAAGTGCTTTGACTTTAATTTCGCATAGTGAGGATCATGACCAACTTGTATGGACTCTCAGCTCAACTAAACAATTCACCATAGGGACTTTTTCAAATATTTGATCAAGAGTCAAACAAAGAACTTCCCATTCAGACAAATATGGAAAGTTAATGCACCCCAAGGATAACACTTTTTGCTTGGGAAGTAGCTCGTGAGGAGCATCTTGACTATTGATAAGCTTATGAGAGGAGGGAATATTATGGTGAACTGTTGTTGTTTACGTAAGAGAGCAGAGGAAACATGCAATCACATTCTCCTTTGGTTCTCCATTGTATGCAGCTTATGGTCTATGGCTTTTGGGATTATGGGATACAACTGGGTCATAGCAAGTACACTCGAGGAAGAAACTTGGGCGTGGAAGGGTAATGATGAGTCAGAAAAAGTACTTGGGGCTCATTCCTCTGGCTATTTTTTGTGTTGTTCAGAAGGAAATGAACATGGGAATTTTTAAGGAGTAAAGGAGGGTATTGATAAAATGAAAGTGTAATATCCAACTGGGTATTATAAATAAAAAAAAACTATGGAATATATATATATATAGATGTATATATATATAATTAAACAAAAGAAAAAAAAATTTAAAGAAAGAAAGAAAAGAACCCAAAGTGTACTCTCGGAGCAGAAGAAGAAAACACGTGGTCATATAATATATATATATATATATGTGTATATATATAATTAAGTAACAAAAAAAAAAGAAAAGAAAGGAAGAAAAAAAAATAGATAGAGAAGAGAGGGTCGAGCGGCATCGACGGGAGAGAGAGAAGGGTCGCATGGTGTTGTGCGACGCTGCAATTGAAGGAGAAAGAAAAAGGAGAGGAATTGCCATCGGTTAGAGAGAGAAAAAGAGGAGAGAGATAGAAGACACGCGGTGGGTAGAGAGAGAAAGAGAGAAGAAAGAAAAAAAAAGAAGAAGAAAGAAGAAGAAAGGAAAAAGAAAGAAGAAAGAAAAAAAAAAAGAGAGAAGAAGAGGAGTTGCGGGAAAGGAGGAAGAAGAAGGAAAAAAAAAAGAGAAGAGGAGGAGCTGCGGGAAAGGAAGGAGAAAGAAAAAAAAAAGAAAAAAAAGAAAGAAAGAAAAAAGAAGAGAAAAAAAAAGAATAAAAAGAAAAAAAAATGATGAAAGAAAAAAAAAGAAAAAAAAATAAATTAAGGAGAAAAAATGAAAGGATGGCGACTAAATATAATGTTGGTGTACCGCATGCGATGCGCTGATTCGATCATCAACGCCTGATATTTTCGGTGACACGCATGTGATAGCGCGTGGTGGCGCTAACGACTGGGACTGCGTGTCCGAAGATAAAATCTATTCCTAATTTTGCGTAAAATAGTTTATAAAATTATTTATAATTTAATATATGTGTTTTCTATTATAAACGAGATAAACTACATAAACGGTATTCGAATTTCCGAGAGAATTATAGATCGAGTTAGAAATGATTCCTAAAGCTTTCCTGATCACATTATAAGTAAGAATTATGTGTATTCCGTATGAAGACATAAATTATATGTTTATATAAATGTGTATATGGATAGTGCATTCTGTGAATGTTTAAATGTATGTGTAGTATAATAGGAATATAATTAATATGTCTAATTTGTATTTATTTGTGTTCATGTATATGTGTATATATGTTGTTACGCATGTATGTGTATATATATAAAAATATACGATGAATGTGATATGAATTGATAAGAACAGACTTGATAAAAACAAAACTGATAAGAACAAATGCGTGAATAAATATATATACTATGTTGTGTGTAATTGTGTATACGTGTTTAAGTATGAACGTGTGTGTATATATCAGTAGAGATTGTGTGTGTGTGAATATAAATATATATTATGTTTGAGACATGCAGTGAAAATACATGTCTGTATTGTAATATGTATGTGTATTAAAATGTGTGTACATATGTTATACATGTGAAATGTATAAGCAGTGTGTGTACGTGTGGAATTTGGATATACTGTACTTGCTGTGTGATCTGGTGCAGATGTACGGTGCGCTGTACTTGTTGTGTGATCTGGTACATGATGATTCAGAAAATAGTTTGAAATGTATAGCTCTAATGTGCGTGATGATATTGTGTATTTTGTGTGTTTGTGTTTAATTATGCATATAATTAAGATTTTAAGTAGAAAATAAGTGAATTGGAAATGAGAGAGATTTGGAAAGAGTGTAGAGTGTAAGAACCCTGAATACCTACTCGTTTAGTATGAATCGAGGAGTTGAGAGTGCATGTGTGGCTGAAGTTCAGCAGATATGGTGGGTATGATGAACCTGTACATGGATAGAGTTTGAAGTCTAATCCAGACGTAGATAAATATTCGTGTGAGTATGGGTCACCTAGTAAACGTAACTGTTGTAGTCATTGTGTGATTTATGTGTGTGTTATCCATGCGATGGAGGGATTCATTTCGCCTTTCCTCGATGATGACATAAACGGCATTGCGCGATGAAACCATAGAAATGATCTTTCGAGTGTATCTATGATCATTTTTGTGTGTGTGATTATAGTTTGAGATGATGAAACCTTCGATGTGATATTCCAAGTGTATTATAATATTTCGAGTGTAAGTTTGATTTGAAATAAGAACAAAAATTAAGTTATAAGAGTGAAAATTAAAATATGTTTCGTCTGATAAATTCTGTTTTGTTATATATTTTGATTGTGATGCTTTGTTTAACATTTTCTTTATTATAAATATTAATATATTTTACATATTGCGTGAGTGTATATGCGTAAGTCTCCGTTATAAAATCATTTTTCTTACTAAACTCGTGAAACTCACTCTAATTTACCCCCATTTAGGTCAAAGGAGATGAGGAACAAGTTCAAAATCAAAATAAGATGCTGAAGGAAAACTTTATTAGCATTTATTTTAATATTGTAAATTAATTTAAATGTCTCAATTATTTGTAAATGAATAATTATTCTGTCATAAGCGATGTGTATTAAAGTGTAGTTTCGCTGTATATTTAATATTTATCTGTTCCATTAGTTGAAAATGTTGTACTAACGTCCGTACTCACCGACATTGGGGTTCGGGATATTACAGAAAGAGAGATGGTTCCAATCCCTTGGAGTGTTGATAAAGAAATACCATTTGTATTCCATAGAGAATGTAGGAGAACTAATTGATATGCTAACCAATAGGTAAATTCTTTTTGCTCATGGGTTTTGCACTCCCTTGATGCATGTAATTAATGATGCACATCACACTTTTTATTTAAAAGAAAAACAGAGCTAACAGTTATTCAAATGACAGACAATAGCTAACAACCTTCGTTTAAGACTTCAAACGGAACTATACTAGTATGCATGCTTAATGGAACCTTATACTATGAACCTTGGGTACTTGGTAGGAACTCGTTGCAATCTCCTTGGCTTTTCAGGATGAATTACCTTATCTTACCATGTTTTGTAATATATTTTTTTCTTTCTAATAATATATCTTCCTGTATCAGAAAACAAAATATTTGATATGAGGATATCTTCACTTGAGGTGAATTACTCCATGTATCCTTCCTTCCTAATGTTAAACTTGCAACCATGTCATTGTGCAGAGACTGGTGAATCCATCCTGGTCCTTAAGGGACCACAGGGAAGAATAAACAGAGCTGTTTGGGGACCTTTGAACCGTACTATTATAAGTGCTGGCGAGGATGCCACAATTCGCATATGGGATTCTGAGGTAACCAATTTGCATAAATCACCTTGAACTGTAAAGAATGTGGTTATTTTTGGATTCTTGATGAAGATAAGAGACCATGTGTTGGAACTTCTCTTCAAAGTTAGCACATTTTCATGTCTTCCCTTTCAAAATTTTCTTTTCATTCTACATGATTTATTTTTCTGCTTGGGAATTCATTCTCAAACTTCCTACTTCTCTGTAAATTTGCAGACTGGTAAATTGCTTAGAGAGTCAGATAAGGAAACTGGTCATAAAAAGACCATAACATCACTTTCAAAATCTGCAGATGGTTCGCACTTTCTTACTGGATCTCTGGATAAATCTGCCAAGGTGCTATTAGTGTCTAACTTCTGTCATTTCCTTCCTTCACACCATGTCTCACAAAGTTTTCTACTTTATAATTGCTATTATACACGTCTTTTCTCATCTTTTTCTTTTCTTTTTTTAAATTCTGCAATTTTTTTTAGCTCTGGGACATCAGAACGTTGACTCTTGTCAAGACCTATATAACAGAACGCCCAGTTAATGCTGTAGCGTTGTCTCCTCTTCTTGACCATGTAAGTGCAGATGAAACATAAAATCTTCATCTAGGTTTTCAAGAAAAATTTGTATTCCCTGTATGATGCTTTGAATACTGTGATTTTATTATCTGTTTTTGGGAAATTATTGATAGGTATTTAAATGGATATTAATTACACTTATATAGGCTACTAGCTTATAAATGAAAATGCTATATGGGAGACATACTATCCAGCAAACATTCTCTTATAGTCAGTATGATGTTTCTTTCATGTGGATTTGCCAAACATTTAGTTTTGTTTTTAGATGGTAAATTAACAAAAATTGGAGAGTTGACTTTTATGCATTTTCTTGTGGGTTTCTTCCACACATTTTTGTGGTTTCCAGGTGGTGCTTGGAGGTGGCCAGGATGCATCAGCTGTTACAACAACTGATCATCGTGCTGGGAAGTTTGAAGCCAAATTTTTTGACAAGGTTAATTTCATACTCACCTACCTTTTCATGTGATGTGAAGTTGTATGTACAGATACATTTGTGGTTGTCCCATCTCTTCAGTTGATGATGTTCCACTTTTATGTTTAGATTTTTCAAGAAGAAATTGGGGGCGTGAAAGGGCACTTTGGACCTATAAATGCGTTGGCTTTTAATCCTGATGGGAAAAGGTATGGTTTTCTCTGCTCAGCAAATGATGCTAATTGGATATCAGCTTAGTACAGGCTCTTTATATGTAGAGTTTAAAGAGACTTAGATGACCATGTTCTTTCCCATACCCTGGTTATGGTGAATGGTACCAGTTTATGGGTAGTATGTAAATCTGATGGTTTAAGGTATTTTAGAATATTTCATGGTTGTTTGTGAAATGTAGTTTATGCGCATCTTTAAATAAAGTAATTTCTTTTCTTTAAACTACCAAAGATCAATTGGAGTCTAATGGCAATAGTTCTCTTACAGCTTTCATTTTGACTATTTTAGGGTCCAAACATCACTAACAATTTGGTTGATTTAATTATTTTCCTGATTTATGCTATATTAATCTGTTGCTTAAATTTTGTCCATCATGGATAATTTTTTTTTTCAACTTCAATCAGACATTTTCTTCGCAGATCTGTCAAAGAACTAATGTCAAATTTGTAGTTTACTTGGGAACTCCTAGTTGTGCTCCAGTTCTGTTTACGCCAATTCTTTTTCCACAATCCACCTTTCCTTTCAATAGCATAAACAGCTCTTGTTTATTTAAGTATGATTTCTCTGTCAAGTCTTAGTTCCTAATGACTTCCAGTTGTAAACAACTCCCAGCTGTAAACGTTTTTTTACCTATAGATACCTAGTTTATTGTGGCAAAATACATGCACTTTACTATTTTACTTGTGTAAGTAGTTTAAAAATTGTCTCGTTAATTTCTATGTTTTAGGCACTTGTTTGCTTTACTCTCCTGTCTCGTTTTTGTTTAAGAAATGTTATCTTGCATTGGCTATAAATTTAACTCCCTTTTTTTTTTTCTTTTTTTGCATTTGTAGTTTCTCAAGTGGTGGTGAAGATGGTTACGTGAGATTGCATCACTTTGATCCCGACTACTTCAACATTAAGATTTAATTCTAGACCTTATTGACTGATTGAAAAATTTAGTTCGGGAGCCTAACTAAAAAGAAGCAAGAAAAGAGTTACTTGAATCTCGTTTGGAGGAAATCATTTTTCTTTTCTTTTTCCTCCATAGTGTAGTAATGTGATAAATTATGATTTTTGTTCATGTGATGACAGAGTAGAGTTTTGTAGTAGTGAGTGTTGCATGCACATGATCAGCTGTTTCATTTTACCTGTTCGAAGAAATGCTGCCGGATGGAATTTCAACTTATTTTTGCTTCCACAGCAGAATATGTATTTCACTACTCACAAGCATAAAAAGGAGAAATTGTGTAAGACTACTGCTTTTTTCGGCATTTAGCTTAATTTCTCTTTGATATATTTGCCTTTCTCACATTGAATTGGAATATACGACAGTTAGGCTCCCTCTTCGGAGGAACTTATGAAATCAACAGTAAGTTTGGTGTAAATAGGGAGTCTTTAGTTTGATTCCATAAAATAGTTTCCTTTTTTGTCTGCATTTGTTTGATTACTGATAGATGAAGCTCATGGTGCTGCAACCAGAAGTATAACCTCCATCGATGACCAAATTATGTCCTGTTATAAATCCGGACTCCTCGCTTGCCAGAAACACTGCTGCGTTCGCTACATCTTCCACTGTTGCAGCTCTCCCTTTCAGCAAACTTCCTCTTTCTCCCACAATCTTACTCACTTCTTCAACTCCCATCTCCTCCTGCCCCAGCAATCTCCTGTATGCACTAACAAGCATTTCCGATGGCACCCCATGGGGCGATATGCAGTTCACTCGAATCCCCTCTTTACCCAGTTCACAAGCGCAGCTTCTCACCAACCCTGTTATGGCTGCTTTCGACGATGTATACCCATGCCCCCCTAGACCACCCATTATTGCTGCGGAACTTGAAGTGCATATGATAGATCCGCCTTGTCCCCCTTTGATCATTGCTTTTGCTGCGTATTTAATGCCATGAATGATGCCGTTTAAGTTCACTGAAATTACCCGTTTCACTTGTTCCATATCTATGGCGGTTGTGCTTCCATCGGAACCAGAAATCCCAGCATTGTTGAAGATGACGTCGAGCTTTCCTTTCCAAGTAATGGCGAGGTTGATTGCAGATTCAACGTCTGGTTCGACAGAAACATCGCAGTGAATGTAGCGGCCGTTGATTGAATGGGCTAAGTTGGTGCCAAGATCGTCTAAAATGTCAGCAATGACGACATGAGCTCCGTGTTGGGCAAAGACTTTGGCCGTGGCTGCTCCGATTCCCCTTGCGCCTCCTGTTACCAGTGCAACTTTTCCTGCCAACCTATCAATTTAAACTTAAAATTATATTTTCATATAAAATTTTAATTAAAATTTTTGAAATTAATTATAATCAAGCATATATATCTCAACCTTTTCATTAAAAACCTTTCAGAAGCATCAACGTCCAATTCCATTGGAAATCTGAAAATCAAGTTTGCTAGAGTCGGAGGGAATTTCATCAACCTCTATGGGTTTATATATATATATAGAAAAGGGTGCTTCTTGCAAGGTTTGATTATTTACTCATGACATACGCTTTACATTTCCATCGGCAACTGTTTCTAAACTACAAATTTGATCCATATATTAATGTTTTCTTTACATAAAAAAAACACCATGCTGCCTCTATTTCTCAACAACATGCTGCTACCTCTTCAATCTGTAATTCAATTATGGTTATGGTTTTGGATTTGATACGTGGTGATAAGATTGAGATTCCGCAGCCGAATGAAAATGTTTTACCATAATTCAATTTACTCCTTCATCCAATTCTATAACCTTTTTTTTTTAAAAAAAAAATTTAATTTTAATTTAGTCTGTAAATTTAGAAGTTCAATATTTTTTCTTTGGGTATTATTATATGTATTATTTAAATAAAATAAATTAATTGTCAAAAAATGAAGTATAAGCAAACAACAAAACTTTTTTTTTTTTTAAATCTACGAATATGAAAAATATAAATTAAAACAATTCTGTCAGTTTAAACACCATATTATAAGAAAAAAAATTTATAACTTAATTATAATATTATGAATATTTTAATAATAATTTATTTTAAATAAATTTATATTATTCTAATCATAACCTAAATATTTTATTTAAAAAAATAAAAAATCAAGTAAAAGAGTGGAGTTCATTAGGATCCGATTTAATTAATAAACGGGCCAAGCTGAGTCAAAAGGTTGCGAGGCCGAACACGAGACGATCCGCTCCATTATCCGTCAATCCCTAAACAGCCCAAGGAACTAGGAAGAGAAACCAGTGAGCGAAGAGAAGTTTGGGAGCTTCTAATCGCTGCGTGCGTAGAGAATCTAACTAATCAAAGGTGCTGATTTTACAGGCAACCATAGTAATCATGGAGGTAGAAGGATCATCGAAGAAGATGATAGCAACGCAGGCAGAAATGGTGGAGGCGAAGGTTCCGCTCGGATACAGGGACCAATGCGCGCACCTGCTGATCCCACTCAACAAGTGCCGGCAAGCAACTTTTTACCTGCCATGGAAGTGCGAGGATGAGCGCCACGTCTACGAGAAGTGCGAGTACGAGCTGGTCATGGAGAGGATGCTCAAGATGCAGAAGATCCGCGAGGAAGAAGCCAAGTTAAAACAGCAGCAGAAGGGTGCCGCCATTCCTCTCATACCCAAAACTGCCAATGCATAGTCTGTTTTCAACTCGGTCTGAGCTGCGTCATCTCCTTCTTGTTTTGTGGTAGGTACTTTTTATCTTTTCTAGCTGTTTTGTTTTCAATTTATTCTCATAAATTGTCCGGAGGATGTTGTCTTTCTATTAATTGAGGAGGTTTTGCTTGGGAACGATTCTGTTTCCAATGATAAATTGAGTGATTTTGGGTATTTCAGCCTTCGCACTCTAGGCGTTTAATTTAGGGTTCCCTTTTCCCATGAATTACTGAGTCTTTTGGTTATTTTCGGGTTACGCACGATCTTCTAGCGTATTTTGTAGTTTCTGGGTTTGTAATCAGGATTTTTTCGATTTACTTTCTACGAGGAACATCTAGGAATAATTTATCTCATAGTTTGCTGATTTGAGATTCCTCTTGGGAAGTAAAAGAATTTTATGCAAAGATCCCAAGCCGTTTTGTTCTTATTGCACATTATTTTTAGAAAATTTAAGTGTTTATATGCCTTTCTGCACTGAATTTGCACTTACATGCTATGCGCTAAAACCTTTGGACTCCATGCTTCTATTAATTCTGGATATGCTACTCCAGACTTCATGATAGTTTGGCATGTTACTAATCTCTTCTTTCAGATGTCTAGTGTTCAACTGGTGTATGTTGTAAAGTTCATAAAGAATGAAGAAACTTCACTATGCCAAAGGTTTAAAAAACTTGTATATTGAAATTAGCTGTTTGTTTTGGTGGAAAAGAAGGTTTTGCATATGAGCAGAGGTCTGTTATGGGTATTTGAAGCAGTTTGCAGTTATATGAGTTGAAACTTTAACTGAGGTTGTGGCATTGTACTCATGGGATTGGCAACTGATCACTGCATTAACTGATGATCTATAAAACTGATAGTAAAATCTTTAAGAAGTAAGATACCCTTATGGAGATTACTTTTGGATTGGGCATCACAAAATGTGGATGTTTTCAGATGGGAGAGCAATGAAGAGGAAATCATCATGATTAAGTTTAGCTTTACTTGCTATCTTAAGTGTGATTAAGTTTAGTTTTGGTAGTGTAAAGTAATGGATTGGGTTTTTGTTTCGGATAGGAAGTGTAATGGATCATTCATAGCAGAAACTGATTTGCAGTTCCACAACTTGCTATTGGATTGGGTATCTTAGGCCATATAAGTTAGTGGATTTTTGACTTTGCTTAAAAATAATTTATTAGCATCCTGTCCAATCTAACTGTTTGGTAATCAGATAAGCAATGTGGTTATTAGGTGCTTATGAATAGCTTTCAGTGGGAGAAAAAGGTGTGTTTCCCCTAATTTTTGATATATTGCCTAAGAGTGCTTATTTTTTTGAGCATTTGTTTTCATATTCTTTTACTTTGTTTATTTAAGATATATGAATGCTTTATTTATTATTATTGCAATAAGAATCTTTTATTCAAAGTCGTAACTGTTTATTGTCTATGCTAAGACCTAGATGCCTTAGGTATGTTTCTTTCGACAATTCCCAACACATTCTTGGTATTATATGGTCAAGGAGTTTCTAAAGATATTAAGGTGTAGTGGCTTGGAGTTCTAGTGGCTCCTGTCAAACTCCTGAGAGTCGTTTTTTTCCCTCTTTGATGAAGACACCGTTCTTATTTCTTTTTTGTTATAAAGAAAAAAGAAATACACTCAAGGCACCAAGGGGGTGGTACCAAGTAAATGTCCTTTTTTTTAAGAATATGAAGTTAAGGTCTTTCTTGGGTCTATATCAGTTGGTTGTTGAATGTTTTGGTTATTTGGAATGGATGCATACCCGAGCAAATCTCTTTCATGTGACCTTTCTTTTACCTTATTTTGTTTTTTTCCTGCCCTGAATGATTCATGGCCAGCAACTGGGCCCCCTGAATCCTTTTTTCCAGTCTTATTTTCAAGATAAAGCCCTGATCCATCAATATCCTATCATAGCCCTATTTCTTTCTAGCCCTCAATCATCTTATTGACTCATCCAAGTATACCAGATGCCAGGATTAGGTAGTAGGATATCCAGAGATGGTTTTAGTGGGTATTCTTTGTATAATCTTCGTTGCATCTTTGTTATGAATTTTTTTTTTTTTTTAATTTCCACCAACTTCAAAAATACTCTTTTTTCAGTGCTGATCTTGCTTTTCTTCCGACAGAAGAATTTTTATTTTTCCTTAGCACAGGAGACCTTTATATTGGGGGCACTAAGCATCGAATGATGTCATTTTGACCACCTCTCTGACAAAATATTTGCTCCAGATTGTACGTTAATTTCTGTGTTATGTTACATTATCACCAGCCTTATGTCTTCTTGACAGGAGAATGTGTTTATAATATAGCTGATCATTCTCATATGGGGTTGATCAATTATCCTTATTGACAAGAGAATGTTTTTATATATTTGTAGCCAATATAGCTGGTCATTCTCATATGGGGTTAATCGATTATCCATATTTAATTCTTTTGTACTTTATGGTTTAATTTGTTTGACTAATTCTTTATTTTCAATTTTCAAAAAACTTTTTGGAGGGAAAAAAAAAAGATTATTGTCAAACTTCTGTTTTCTGAAAACACTGTCACTTTTGCACTCTGATGCCAAGCGAGACGCTACATTACCTTGCCCTCTGGGAATTCTTTTTCATTTAAAACCAGCAGTACGCAATCATGTAGCTCAGTTGCATCATGCTTTCTGTCTGTAACAGTCTGCAAACTAAGAGTTCTATAATGGACAATGATGCACAATGATGAGTTAAATTTAGATATTCTAAATTGATCAAAATTATAACTTTTTATGTATAAACTATTGTACTATTTAGGAGTATATTATTATAATTTTAATAACTTTGGAATTCTATTTTTTTAGATTAAGGTCTCCTGTACTTTAGTTTCTTAGTTTAATCCTATATGAGAGACTACACAGAAAGCATTATAAGTACCTTAATAATAGTACTTCTGGAGTTCAATTCAATTATTCAATAAAAAGTTAATTGAAAGTTTTCTCAATTTCTCGTTTTGGGATGTAATCAAGATCTTATTTGTGATGCTTAATAATTCCTAGATTTAATGTCTAGATGTGACTTTCCAAATTTCTAAGTAGATAAAAGATGAACCCTAATTTGTTTTACACAAGTTGATACAAAAAACATAAGAAGTCCATGACTGAAACCTGAAAGCCTCATATTCAAACAGACCCTGCCTATCTGGCAAACAGAAAACCCTAACAACACAAACTAGTGCCATAATAGGTCATCAGCCATCGCCAAGCAGTAATTGAATCACTCTTACTGTTAGCATTGCCAAGCTGTAATTGAATCACCCTTTGATTGAGATAGAGCACCACTTGTCAGAAAAATGCGGGGCAGCCGCTACCTCTCTCAGTTCTGTTTATTCCCACATCCACATCTCACACCATCCTTACCTCTGTTCAAGTAGATTGTCAAAAGCTTGTTGCCCTCCAGTGACCGGAATCTGGCACATGAGATTCCTAGACACAGGCCAGTCTTCAAATGCCTCCACCAGGCAGAACATTATTTGTCATTCCTAAATTTGTGGACGAGTCTTCTCCAACAAGGGTAGAGTGATGCAGGATGTGTCAAGTTTAGATTGCTTAAATTGATTAAATTTATAATTCTTTTAAATATAAAACTGTTGTACTACTTAGAAGTCTATTATTATAATTTGAGTAACTTTAAGGTTTTATTTTGTTTATTGTTTAGTTTTCTTATTGCTATTGGAATTAGTCCCTCTTAGATTGATCTTATTTGAGAAATGGTACTTAATAAGCATTATAATCTTATTTGTAGTCTCGCTTTTTGACTAAAGTTCAATATTTAATAAAAAGTTCTTTGATAATTTTATCTTACTTAGGTTTTGTGACAATTAAACCTATAGTTATGATGCATAAGAATTCTTAAGTGTGATGTGTATGAAACTTTATATGTGATGTATGGATTTTTATCTCCAAAATTCTAAATAAGCAATTAATCTTAATCTGCCCTCATATTTGTGCATGCCTGAAGTTAATACCATTATTTGGTATTTTTCTTAGCAAATAAAATATCATGCCTGGCTAGCTGTTAAAGAGTTCATGATTATGGATCCATATTGATACAACCAGAAGATCAGCAAGAATCCCAATCAAGAATCCCAAGTATCTTTGATTCTAGTATCGTTGAAGCAAGCAGAACCCCCTCAAGATCCGGTCAACTATTCAACATCAACTTCTCTATTTTTTTGATTATTTATTTCCAGCATTATCTTATCTTTTTGTTGAGATTGTTTTTATTGCTATTAGCCGTTGTGCTCCCTGGATAGCAGGGAAAAATTGTTGTTTCCATTCCTATTTAAAACCCTATCAGATTATAGATGAGACAAGAATAACTTAACAAGAAAATTGTGGGTTTTTCTATCCCAAAAATAGAAACTTTCGTACAATCCTTCTTGCGTTCTTTTAGGCATCTATCATTTTGATATCAGCGTCATGTCGAACAAGGAAAGGATTGAGAATTTAGAAGAAAGTGTTGGAGGACTGCAGGACAGCTTCGACCGGATGGAGCTTGGAGTCGCCGATAAACTTCACCAAATGGAGGATACCCTCAAACGATTAACAGAAACTCTGTTAATCAACCGTGAAGATTCCAGCTGCAATACCCCAAACCGAAATGGAGGAACACGACCAAACTGTGATGAAGGAGCCGAGCGAAATGACAATGGCCGACAACCATTCTTCTCCAAACTCACCAAGCTGGAATTTCTTATTTTTTTCGGAGATGACCTGACCGAATGGCTCAACCGCATCGCACAATTCTTTGAGTATCAAGGAATTTCCGAAGAGCAGAAAGTCCAACTAGCTTCTTTCCACCTGGAGGGCGAAGCCAACCAATGGTAGCAGTGGCTTCGCCGGACTTATCAAGAAGAAGGAAGAGTGGTGACATGGGCAGGATTTGAAGAAGAGGTCTGGGCTTGTTTTGGGCCGACTGAATGTGAAGACTTCGACGAAGCCCTATCCAGAGTGAGGCACATCAGGCCCTTACAAGATTATCAAAAAGAATTTGAGAGGTTAGGCAAGAAGGTGAGAGGTTGGACCCAAAGGCCTTGATGGGTACGTTTATTGGCGGGCTAAAGTATGAAATTGCTGAAGGTATCGGATGTTCAAGCCCAAATATTTGAAAGAGACCATCAGCTTGGCCTATATGAAGGAGGAGCAAGTGGGTCGACAAAGAAGGTTCAATCGGGTCGAACGTAACCCGATCAACCCGTCCCCAACCCTAGCTGCAGATTCCGCCTCGAAGTGCCTCTCGTGGGAAGAGATGCAACACCGTCGAATGCAGGGCCTCTACTTCAACTGCGATGAGAAATTTACTGCAGGCCATCGCTGTCGCCAAGCTCAAGTCATGCTCTTGGAAGGGACCGAAGAAGAAGAAGAAAAACCAAAAGAAGAGGAGCCTGAAATTTTCCTTCATACTTTCAATGGTTGGTCCACCCCAAAAATGATGCGTGTTGATGCAACCATCCGCAGTCAACGTATCGTCATCCTCATCGACAGTGGCTCAACTCACAACTTCATCAGTGAGCGAGTCGCGAGCTTGCTGAAGTTACCAGTACTCCTGACTCAAGCCTTCTCGGTCAAAGTTGCGAATGGTAGTCCGATGAGATGTCACAGACAATTTGAAAATGTGTTGTTTAACATCTAAGGTATACTCTTCCATTTTACTCTTTTTGTTTTTCCATTAACTGGTCTTGATCTTGTTTTTGGAGTTCAATGGTTGGAAGCATTGGGAGTGGTTATGTGTGATTGGGGTTAGATGACGATGGAATTCCAGTGGGGTAGTCGACTGCGACAGTTACGGGGCCTTGGCGCTCCACTTCTCCAGATTGCTTCAGCTGAAGAAGTCGCCAAAAGCACGCTTCGACACTCCTCTCTGTTTACGGTGTATCTACAGGCAGAAAACACCTCTCTGATCCACCTCCATCCAGATATGCAAGCTTTCTTGGATCAGTACCAGGATCTTTTCAAGGATCCACAATCAATTCCTCCCTGTCGAGACGTTGATCACCGCATCAGTTTGAAGGAAGGGGTTGAACCCGTCAATGTTAGGCCATACAAGTATGCATATTTCCAGAAAAGTGAAATTGAAAAATAAGTGAATACAATGCTTGATTCAGGGCTGATTCGGCCAAGCATCAGTCCATTCTCCTCACCGGTGCTATTAGTATGCAAAATAGATGGAACTTGGAGGTTTTGTACAGACTATCGGGCCCTCAATTCAGTCACCATCAAAGACAGGTTTTCCATCCCTACGGTTGATGACATGTTGGATGAACTCCATGGAGTTGCTTTCTTTACTAAACTCGATCTCACCGTAGGTTACCACCAAGTAAGGGTACATCCATCGGATATTCACAAGACGGCCTTCCGCATTCATAACGGTCATTATGAATATCTTGTCACACCATTTGGGCTTTTAAATGCCCCTTCCACCTTTCAAGTAGTCATGAACAACATTTTCCGCCAGCACCTCTGTAAGTTTGTTCTAGTTTTTTTTAATGACATTTTCATATACATTCCCAGGTAGGAATTGCACCTTGAGCAGGTTAAGCAGGTTTTTGACATCTTTCGACAACATCAATTTTTCATCAAGCTAAAAAAATGTATCTTTGGGCAAAAGGAACTTGAATACTTGGGGCATATTGTCATGTTGCAAGGGGTCAAAGTGGATCAAACCAAAATTAAGGCCATATTAGATTGGCATCGACCAAACAACATCACTGAGTTGAGAGGATTTTTGAGTTTGACAGGCTATTACCGGAAGTTCGTTCGGTAGTATGGAATTCTTGCTCGATCCTTGACTAATCTCCTAAAAAAGGGACAATTTGGGTGGTCTGAGGAAGCAGAATCAGCTTTCCAAAACTTCAAGGTTGCTATGACCACAACTCCTATCTTGACACTCCCGAATTTTGAAGAGTCATTTATCATAAAAACTGATGCTTCTGGCTGCGGCATTGGGGTAGTTCTTACTCAGCATGGGCGGCCTATAGCTTACATGAGTTGAGCATTAGGCGTTGCCAAGCAGTCATGGTCGACATACGCCAAAGAGATGCTTGCCATTATTATTGCCATAAAATTGTGGAGTCTGTTTTTGATGGGCAGAAAGTTCTATGTGCACACGGATCGGAAAAGTTTGAAGCATTTGCTAGACCAACGAATTATAACCCCAGAACAGCAAAACTGGCTCTCTAAGTTGTTTGGCTACGAATATGAGATCGTGTACAAATAAAAAAAAGACAACTCTGCGGCCGATGCTCTATCTCGTAGGGAAGATAGCCCCACCCTGCACACTATCTCTATGCCCAAAAATAAATTGTGGAACATCATCTGGGAAGCTGCGGATCATCCCTATATGCAAACAGTCTGCAAGTTAGTCACTGACTCAGCGGGTGGTTCCTTTTCACTCAAGAACGGGTTGATTTATTTTAAGCATCGAATTGTTGTCCATCCTAAATCAGAAATCACACAACAATTACTGTAGGAATTCTACTCGTCATTGATCGATGGCCACTTAGGTTTTTAATGAACTTACAAAAGATTGACCCAACAATTTTATTAGCCAGCCATGTACCGAGATATTAAAGAATATATAGCGGCATGTGACACCTGCCAATGAGTCAAAGCTGAGACACTCTCATCAGTCGGCTTTCTCCAACCGTTGCCAATCCCTTGCCAAATATAGGATGATATTTTCATGAATTTTATTGAAGAATTGCCTATCTCAAACGAAAAGAATACTATCTTGGTTTTGGTTGATCGTCTTAATAGTAGTACGCACTTTATTGCTTTGGCTAACCCTTACACCGCTAAGACCGTGGCAGAAAAATTTGTGGACAATGTGGTAAAATTACATGGTATGCCTCGCTCCATAATTAGTGACAGGGATCTGGTCTTTACTAGCCGCTTATGGCAAGAGATTTTTAAGTTGTCTGGCCCCAGCTCCGAATGAGCTCCTCCTACCATCCGCAAACAGATGGACAGTCAGAAGTTGTGAACCGCAGTGTGGAACAATATCTACGGTGCTTAAGCTACCAACAACCACGCAAGTGGAGTTCTCCTTGAGCCGAATTTTGGTACAACACAACCTACTATTCCTCTATCAAGATGACACCTTTTCAGGCCTTATATGGGAGGCGACCGCCGCCCATTCCCCGTTACCAAGACGGCTCAACCTTGTCAATAAAGTTGACCAACAGCTTTGTAACCGGGATTCCCTCCTCAAACAACTTCGAACTAATTTACAAGTAGCCAAAAGTCGCATGCAAGCCACCACCAATGCCCATCGACGTGAAGTCGAATTTCAGGAGGGCGATTGGGTCTTTCTTAGGCTTCGACCATATCGGCAGCAAACGGTTTTCAAGAGAGCCTTCCAGAAGCTCGCATGTCGATACTACGGGCCTTATCAGATCCTTTGCAGAATTGGCCCCGTTGCTTACAAGCTTATACTTCCACAAGGGTCGCCTATCCATCCCGTTTTTCACGTCTCCATGTTAAAAAAAACATGTTGGTGACGCAATTGCCCCGACTGAAAATCTGACGGAAATATCTGACGATGGGGACATACTGCTGCAATCCCAAACCATTTTAGAAACCCGATGGGTCATAAGGGGAGCAAAAATTATTGAAGAAAATCTTATCCAATGGAAGAATTTGTGCCCAGAAAAAGCTACCTGGGAAAATAGCAGAAAACTAACAGATAAATTTGGCCACTTGAACCGTGAGGACAAAGTTCTTGCAAAAGAGGGAGGCAATGATACAACCAGAAGATCAATAAGAATCCCAATCAAGAATCCGAAGTATCTATGATTCTGTTATCGTTGAAGTAAGCAGAACCCCCTCAAGATCCAGTCAACTATTCAGCATCAACTTCTCTGTTTTTTTATTATTTATTTTGAGTATTATTTTATCTTTTTGTTGAGATTTTTTTTGTTGCTATTAGCATTTGTACTCCCTAGATAGCAGGCAAAAGTTGTTTTCATTCCTATTTAAAGCCCCATCAGATAATGGATGAGGCAAGAATAAATTAACAAGAAAATTGTGGGTTTTTCTATCCCAAAAATAAAAACTTTCTTGCAATCCTTCTCGCGTGTTTTCTGGGCATCTATACATATATCTGTTGTCTGTGATTTTTTTACATGAACACTGTTTTACACCATAGAATATTGGTCAAGTTGTTAGTACACTTGTCTCCGGTAAGTTATATTTACCCTTTTTGTTGATCATGGTTCAGTGTTTCTTTACCAAAAGATTGTTGTGAAAATTCTTCTCTCTTTCTCATGTAGTTATGAACATGTAAACAGGTGTCCAAGCATCATAAAATTCTGAATAATTTCGTTTTATAGATGCTTGTTCATAAATTTCTACTGTGAGACTATGTTTGCATTTATTTCTTCTGGAGATAAGAGTTGTTAAAGTCTGATGTTTCATAACCAGTTAACTACTTTGCTTGCTAGTGCTTAGCAGTCATCATTTGGGGTACGTTCATTTTATTTGTGGGTTTTAACTTGTATACTTGCTCTTCCTGACAGTAAGTTCAAATTATCTGACAGGAGCCTCGAACTGCTGAGAAGTGGGTGATTTGGTGTTTCTTGCTTCTACTGATGGAATGCCATTTGAAACTGTTTATCTGGAGATGAATATAATAGACTCATATACTTTCTTTATCATATCTTTTCAGTTTTTCAATCTTTTTTCGGGAATAAAATTACTTCCTGACGATTTAATTATTGCTTACTTTTAATTGGTTTCTTCTGAAAAACAAATCCCTAATTATCTTCAAGTTGTGAAGGTGAACTGTGGGAAGTTCATATACTTCACGTTAGAACAATGTTTGGAAAACATTGGTGTGGGTGTTTCTTGCATCTGGTTCAGGAACTTGATAAAATTTGATAAAATTCACAATAAATTGTTTCAGTCTCACATCAGGTTTCATCTGGACTTTATTTTTTTTATCATCTCCTACTAAAATTCGCATTTCATTTGACTTTGCAAATAAATTCTATATTAATTCTAAGAGAATTAAAAGCGTAAATTGAAATATTCATTAATTTTATTTTTTTTTATAATTTTAAATATAGTTTTTTAATATTTGTATTGAAATTTTTATGGGATATAATTAAGTTGTGTAATTTTTTAATAGATTTGTAAAAATAATACTTTTTTTTCGGAATATGTCATTATGTTTGTTAGATCAAATTACTAATTTAGTTTTGGAATTTTGAGCTATATTAGAAATTAATGAGTTTTTTATATATTTTTTAATTGTAATTTGGTTCTTGAACTCACAAATTTATTTTGGGAAATTGATTTTTATACAGAAAAATAAAGTCTTTTAGATGATATATAAAATAATTTAAAAAGTGAAGTTTAATTTCTATCAAACATGAATTGGCACTCCCAAACTTTAAAATCTAAAAGATATATATTATTGCAATTATCTTCTTCCTCCATAGTTCCTATTATTATAATCTATATTAACTATTTTTATTAAATTATTAAGTTTATTACAACTTTCAGACTTTACAAAAAGCATAATATGAACACAATGTAAAAAATTTACTAGTAGAGTAAAGACTTTTTTTCTTGCTAAAGATCTATTCTTGTAGAGAAACAAATATGTGATGTTTAATATGAATTATCAAATAGTTAAATTTTTTAATAATATATTATTATGATATAGAGTAAAGTTGGAAGCCAAAGCCAAGACCCAAGATGCTGACTCTTTAAGTGAAGATAACAAAACTGCAACTTAAAAAACCATAATAAACATGATAAATATGTATTTTACTATTTTTAGGTATGTCTAAAAATAAATTGATGTAGAATTTTTAAAACATAAGCGTATATTTTAATAAATTTAGTGGGATTTAATTATATGTATTCAATTAATCTATAATTTATCCATATCTAATAATATATGCTTTGACATTGTCTTTATGTATAACAATAATTCTTGTTTTGAAATCATACTGCCATGATTACCAAACTTTTTTAATCAATTAATTTATTCTAATATATACATATATAGTTGGTGAATGATTATTTTAAGAAAATCTGACTTGATTAATTATTTAGTCAATATATTCTCTCAAATCAGTAATTAACAATTTTAATTTAAAGATTAAAACGTTCACATTTGGAGAAAGTATGGTTGAAAATTTCATGAAAATAAGGCCACTCCCATAATTTATATTACACTCTATATAAATGATTTTTTTTTTAATTTTTTGGTCCTATTTTATTTTAAATTCTTGAAAATAAATTTAACACAACTTTAAAAAAAAATGATATTTGTTTAGTTTTATTATATTAACATAAACGTTTTAAAGTACTTTTATTTCCAAGAATTTAAAATATATATGAAAATTATGACACTAAATTTTATTTGATTAATGAAATATGTTTTGAATTTTACAATTCGATACCATTCAAAATTTTTAATCAAAAAAATAAATTATTTAATTCGCAAACCGATCGTGCATTTAATAATGGAAAGAATTTAATGTTTGTGTTAATTAAAAGGGCAATTGTTTATATGCCACTTTATTACAGTAGAAGTAGAATTTTGAATTTGAATTTTTTATTTTGGCTTTAGGAACGACAAAAGAGAGAGAGAGTGTGTACGAAGAAGAGAACTAGACCGGCAGAGGAAGGGAGAGGACGCGACGTAAGAAGAAGAAGACAAAATAAATCAGATCGTTGTGCGCAACTGCAAATGCAAGCCGTAGCATCTGGGGAAAGCAAGAGGCAAAGGAGTAGACAAGCATGAGTGACAACATCGGTAGCCACGACTATGGCAGATAGTTTTGGGAAGATGAAAGAAATTGATAAGCCTGTGATGAGGCCATAGCTATGGAAGGGGTGAAAGAGGGGGGAATAAAGACAGAGGGTTTTAAAGAGAGATTAGGGAAACTCTCATTTGGTCGTGGCTATACTGGTCACGACTAATTGCTTAGCCTTCCATCCAGCTTACTAGGTGTGATTCAATGCTTACTCTGCCATGTGGAGACACTTCTTATTAGAGGAGATCTTGCATTAGTTACTCATATCTCTAAGGAGGATTTTTAACATAATATCAAGAACTTTGAAATTGCTTGCATTTGCATTTGTATTTGACCTGGTTGAATCTTTAATCCTTAAACTGAAGGCTTAGACACTTCTCATTTGTTTAATTTCTATTTTTAATGTTCTATACAGATATCCTAATCCGCGAGCATTTACCCATGAAAGATGCCTCTTTAGTCCCTTTGAATATGGTCTATAGCCTCTTCCTTGGTATAAAAAAGGGCACTTAGTGGTAAGCAAGCCTGAAATACCAGATAGGATTTTTTATCTAGAGCAATATGATGGGCCTTAATGCTTTCTGATTCCTGGAAACCACGATTGGTTCTAATTCAGCTTGAGCTTCCTCGAGGAAATTTATTTCTACAAAGGGATAAAGTTACAGATATTTTGCTGTGATTATATGTGTTGGGTCCCAAACATAGATAAAATTAATTGTATAAATTAAGTCAATCCTAAATTAATTTGTAGTAATTAATAACCATAACCTTAAGCTAAATTGATGCACAATAAAGCAAAAATAATAAGCAGATAATAACCACAAAATTAAATAAATACATGATTTTATGTTCAAAAATCCTTCAGTGTGAAGTGAAAAACCACGGGTCAAGTTCCGAATCAAATACACTATTAATGTGTAACGACCCCCGAATTTCAAATGAAATAAATCATAAATTAAGTGCGGAAGTGAAATAATTAGTTAGGGTTTGCATTCCTTACACAACGACTTAAAGTACCAAATAGTACTTCGGGGATTACCCTTTTAAAGGAAATACAAAAAAATTAAGGAAACAAACGGAAAATAAAATAAAATTGGCATCCTACTCGCAACTCTCTTGTGGATCGGGCTCTGGATCCTGGTCCTCTTAATCTGAAATAGTTAAATAAGGAATGAGCTATACTAGCTCAGTAAGAATATCACGTTACTCACCGATACAGAAATGAAGGTTGGTAGGAAAATAAAAAATAACTAATGGAGCACTTAATTAACCAAATTCATTTATCAATAATAAAATCATTTACCATTCACTTACCGTAGCGAGATTTATAAATAACTTATAGAGACAATAATATAACACTTATCACGATTTCATTTGTAATTGATAACATGCACATATTATAATTCCATATTCAATTAATCAAAACAACAATTGTCCATTTTCATCAGCCTGCTGGTATCCATGGAGTCTACAGAGATGTCCCCACTACTCGTGAACCATTTCCTTTAACATTCTTAATTAATGGATCGTCCCTATACCCTGTCCGATATGAGTGTCAAATTACTAAATCTCAATACCCCGTCCGGTATAAAGGTAAAACGGGTCGTCTCCATACCCCGTCCGGTATGAGTACCAAATTACCAAGTCTCGATACCCCATCCGGTATAAGACAACATTCGTGGTAGGGTTCTCAATGGACCTAATTTGTCCACCATCTCTCAGGATATCCAGTGAGGCTGTCGTTTCATCCATTCAATTAATCACACAAATTTTCGTTTACCTTGAACTGCTAGTTCTCCAATTCAACCGTAACCATACAAAACAAACAATACATGCATTCAAAACTATAAAATCAATCAATCAAGTACTATTACGCATTTAAACCGTAGAATAAATCAAACAGAATCAGCAATGAATAGTTTCCGGTTCTACCTCCATTAGTAATCCGTTATTAATTATGAATATTTCCTACATTTCATAATTTACCGAATTATCATTAATTAAACTTAAATTCTGTAATAGAGAATAGGGTGAGAGATTCTTACTCAATTTGATGCCCAAAAAGCTAAGCTGTTGACTGCGCCTACTGGCGGTCCTTAGGTTTCCTGAATTTTTCTTCGGGTATTAAAACACTTTACAAGTACCTACAAATATCCTAAAAATCCAAAAAAGTGTTAGGACCCTTTTTTGGCCAATTTCAAAATTCCAGCACAGCGGCTCCGCCATCCTCCAGTGGCGGTTCGCCATCCTCCAGTGGCAGTCCGCCTCGGATTTGCTATTTTCGACCGGTTTTGCATCAATCCCCGTGAGAAAACACGTTAAAAGACCTCGGTTGGCCCAAAAAAATTGAAAAACCGAAACTCACCGGCAGCGAGGCTCTCCGTTGCAGTGGCTCCACTGGCTCATTTTGTGGTTGGGTATTTTACTCAGGTCAACCTGTAGAGAAGGAAACAGTTATCAAAATGGTGAAAAAGTTATGCAGAATAGGAATCGGAAAGGGCCTCATCGGAGGCGATTTTTGTAATTCCCCGCGGCAGCGCCGTTGGGCTTTACCCGTGGTTTTCAGCCCATCCATCGGTCTTTTTGCCCCGATTTGGCCATGGTAGTGTTTAAAATTGAATTTCGAGCAAAGGAGAATTTTTACCTCTTTTGGCAGTCGGAAAGGGCACCGGCGCGGTGGGAGCAACTTCCTTCCCGGCGGCTGGGTCTTCTTCTCCGGAGGGGGGGGGGGGGGCTTGGCGGCTAGGGTTAGGGTTTGGTGTGAAGAGGATTATTTATATCTCTCCCTATTTAATCTGGACCGTCCTTCGCATTTGATCTGGACCATCTAATCGCGATTAAATAGAGAGTGAATCTAGACCGTTCATCGCACTTTAATCTAGATCGTCCAATCACGTTTAAATTGGAAATAGATATGGACTGTTGATCGCGTTTAAATCTGACCGTCCAATTACATTTGGGGAGGGGATACATCCATACCGTCTATACGCGCGGGAAATGATCTGGGTCATTCGATGGCGGGCACTTGGATTGCCTGCGTGGCACCGCGTCAGTGTC